TAAAAGCCACCTGGAATGCCTGGTCTATATATCTCACCGCATGCTTTTTTAATGTGACCAGAATCAAAATGCCAACATACACATGATAGAGAATTTGGAATCTCCTTCTCAACCAGCTTCCCCCGGACCCAGGTTCTAACCACAAAAGCAAATTAAAACTGTTCAGCAGAGTAGGGATGCTGGAGAGCACCTGAGTGACAGTGTCCACCACCTCCATTGTGTTGTTCACAGGGTAACACCTGTCGGACTCTCGCTGAGTTAATGGTGCACGTGCAGCGTGTGGTTCTCTGGAGGGAACAAACACCTCCTTGCTTGGCCAATAGATAGCTCAAAGCTGAACGACTGTCTAGGACTATCAGAGAATCATGATAATGTTGCATGAGACCTAATGTCATAGAGGGACCTCCAGGAGGCTACCAAGGCAGCAGAAAGATTGTCATTAGCCTGTATGACCTGGTATTGTGTGCAGATACTGTCCTCAGACCAATTCTGGGCAGGCATAAGAGCCACTCTGAACCCAGCAGGAGCGGGATGAACACTGGGCAGGGGATGTGCAGGTTCTACCGCAGTGGTCTTGGTCCCTGGGACTCTCCAGGAAACCAGTGCTCCCAGCCAGACCTCGGGAGCAGCACTCCCTCCCTGGCACATTCTTCTCTGGGACGCTGCTCCCTGGGGGGCATGCTCCTGTCCTTTCCTCCTCCCGAGTCTGTGGCTGGGACAGGGCTGCCCAGGGCCCGTCAGTCTCTGCCAAGGTCTCACCTGTGCCCTGCCTGCTCCTTCCCTCAGGTCATTCTCAGCCCCTAACACTTGAATAGAACAGGGTGGCTTTTCACGTGGGGTCCCCTTCACTTCTCTTTTGGGGCTGCACCAGCACCTTGGCAGAGCACAGGGGTTTTAGCAGCAAAGGCGTTCTATCTCAACGTCTTTGCAAGACCGTTCCTTCAATGTTCAGCTGTACCAACCCCAGCCTGATTTTCCCATCGAGCCACCAAATTCATATGTTGAAACCTTAACCCCAAGGTGACAGTATTGAGAGGTGGCATCTCTTGGAAGGTGAGTAGGTCAGGAGGGCCGAGGCTCCGGGGACTTTGTCCCTGATGCTCAGAAATGCAGGATATCTAGCTGGGGGTAGCAGTTAGGGGTGGCTCTGTTGTGCAGGGCTGGGACAGAGAGTAGGGCAGGACCCTGGCCTCTAGGAGGTCACAGTACAGAGAGGCTGGGAGGTGGAGCTGCCAGGCCATGTCACAGAGCAGAGCCTTTGCCCGTGATCATAAGGGCCCGGCGAGGCATGGGGCTCTGAGAAGGAAAGGGAGAACATACTGAGTGGAGAAAAGAGAGCACGAACTTTTCTCATCCTCACATTCTGGTCAGGTTGTCAGCAGCGTTTAGAACATAAAATAAAGAAACAGAAAATAGCAACTCCAAGAAGCCAATGCCCTGTATTTTAAAAGAAAAATGGCACCACAGGCTTTGTAGAAATGAGAAAGAATGGTGTGTTGAAGCCGGTTGCACTAGGGGCCAGGTCACTGCAGTCGGGAGAGAGGCGGAGGCAGCGCTCTGGACGGGCGGCAGGAGAGCCTGGGCACTGGGCCAGCCCTGGGACGGCACTGGTGAGTGTAAGTGGGGGGTTGGCCGGTGGGATTAGCCCATCTGTGTTGGCTAATCTGGGCTCATGGAGGTTGGGCCCCTATATTTCCACAGAGACAGGGTACTTCCCCCTGGAAAATGATATTTCAAATGGATGGCTCCATGTGTGACTTATTCTTTATTTCATTCTGCTTCCAGGAGAGCTGCCTATTTAAGGCAGATGACAACTTGTAGGTCTGCAGTCAGCACCCAGGGCACACGCAGGTCAACAGCCAGTGTTCCGTCTTGTTTGAGTCTGCGCAAGTTGTCCTGGTTATTTGGAGACTGTCACACATCTCCCCGCCATCACTGCCCTTAGGGTTTGAATCTCTCATTGCTCAACTGAGATGGAGCAGCCACAGTGGAACATGATACCCTGGGCCCCTGCATCCACACGGAGTCCACACAGGTGTCCCATCCCACACCTGCGCGTCCCTTGGACTCACAGATGCTCCTGAGCATGGCAGCCTGGAACTCTATTCCATCTGGCTCTCTGGCAACCTCATTTCCTCCAATCCAGTGGAATTGGGCCTGACCCTGCATCTCTCTTGTCCTAATACCGTTTTCTCTTCCTAAATTGCTGCTCTGCCCCTTCTTTACTTTATCCACATTTTCACATCCTGTGTGATTCATTCTGAGAGTCACCAAGAACTATTTCCCTGACACCCAACCACGACGGTCTCTTTCTTCTTTCTAAAGTCCTAGTAATTCATGAAGCCAACGGTACCCATGATATTCTCCTGTATTTCAGTCTTAAGTGATTTTAATTAGGTTTCTTTTTAAGGTACCAGTCACACGAACTGGATATATAAACTGCTTTAGCTTTTTAGATTTCGACTTTCTTCTGTCCAGTTCAGTAAAAATAATGTCATTTTTCTAATATTATATGATGTTGGGAATAATTAATTTAATCAGAATTAATGTATTGATCAGCTTCTATGTGCCATGCAGTCATCTCAGTACCAGGATGAGCAAAACATGCAGCTCCCCTCCTACTTTAGGGAGAAAAATGTTACAGAAAACAGCCAAATGGGTATAGAATGCGAGATGGGTTAAAATTCTACAGTTAAAATAAGGGGAAGCAGGGCGTTGAGGTCCCCAGGGGGAACCAGTTGCAATTTACCATGGAGCAATCAGGAAAGACGGTCAGGGACAAACTGAAATTGTAGCAGAGACCCCAAGTGCTGGGGGAGGGAGGCAGGTGCAGACCCCATAAGATGCAGTCAGTCTGGCCCAGGGGACAGTTAGGACAATACGGAGAGTTAGTTCAGGGACCTCATGACCTGAAATCAGTTCAGGGGTTTCATGACTTCACATCAGTGGCAGGTACAGGAAGCTGTCCAGCCTTGACACCCTGATCCCAATATGTCATTTTCACCTCTACCCAAGGAGGAGCAGCTGGGACCACTTCTTTCTCAGACACAGACCCACTCTGTCCTCCCTGAGGTCCATGTTGTTTCCCCAGCTGGGCAAGGTCTCAACAGGATGCCTGGACCCCTGGGTTGTGTCTCCTCACAGGCAGACCCTGCATCTTGGGCTGAGACCCACTAAGAGTCAGTCAGCATGGAGTGGCCGTGGCGGACACCTGCTCGCTTCTCCCGGGTCTGGGCATTTGAGCTGGTCACGCCAGTATCTGGGCCCATCGGGTGGTTTTTGTCAAGAATGATGACTATCCCCACCTGAAACGCTCTCCCTTTCTCTGCCAACTGTGCTCTGTCTGTCACCCTCGAACCCCTTGCTGCCTTTCAGCAGTGACCACTCTGATGAGAGTAGCTACGACAAGAACCTACGTGTTTTTTTGTCCGAATACCTGTTGTGGATGCGCAAACTGGACTTACCAGGGCCACATTAGATGCAGAGGCTGACACCGGACTCCTCCCCGGGGCTCTGTGCTCAGGGCCTGGAAGGCCGTCTGCAGGACACACTGGACAAGTGTCCAAGGGTCAGTGAGTGTCTGGGGGAGAAAAAGAGACGAGAGCCAGGAGGAAGAGTCACATCAAAGCCCACCTAGATGCCAGACTGGCCCCATGGAGACCCCAGGTGTGGGCAGTGAGCGTGTCCTCTTGGAAGAGAGGCAGAGGAGCTCCGGAATAACTCAAACCCCAAATGTGTGCATGTATTGGGGTGGGCAGCGCTTGAGTTTACCAGCAGGGGGAGCCAAAGGCATCCTAGCGTGCACTGTGGAGCTGAGCCAGGACTCCTCCTAGTCCCCACACCCACCCCTCCTGCCCTCCCCACACCTGTGCATGACGTTCTGGGTGTGGGAACCTCAGCCCCTGCGGCGCCAACAGGGACTCGGGTTCCTGGGGAAATGCTCTCCCTCACCTTGCTTTTCCTGGTAGCCCTTGGAAGCTGCAATTTACAGGAAGAGTCGGTTTCTCTGCAGTTAAAACTGCAAAGAGAGTGCATGCCGCAAAGAACAGTCGCGGAAGTGTGCGTGTGCGTTCTGTGTGTGTGAAGACGACTTTAGGACTGTAAAATTTAGATTTTAGTTGACGTGTCTGAAAAGTTCTTTTTCTTTTTTTGAGACAAAGTCTCACTCTGTTGCCTGGGCTAGCGTGCTGTGGCATCAGCCTAGCTCACAGCAACCTCACACTCCTGGGCTCAAGAGATCCTCCTGCCTCAGCCTCCTGAGTAGCTGGGACTACAGGCATGTGCCACCATGCCTGGCTAATTTTTTCTCTATATATTTTTAGTTGGCCAGTTAATTTCTTTCTATTTTTTAGTAGAGACGGAGTCTCATTCTTGCTCTTGCTCAGGCTGGTTTCGAATTCCTGACCTTGAGTGATCCACCCGCCTCGGCCTCCCAAAGTGCTAGGATTATAGGCGTGAGCCACCGTGCCCGGCCCGTGTCTGGAAAGTTCTGATACTGACTTCTCCCCAGGGTGCTGCCCCTGTGCTTCCTGTCCTGCTCACCATGTGTTTGCGGGCTACACGTCCTAATCTCAACTAACCTTGTTTCAACGGAGCTGACACTAAGGCAGGGCTGAAAAGGCAAATGTGAGATCTAGGGATAATTCAGTGAAACTCCAACACTTCCAGAAAGAGGATGGTCTGTCCTGAGACATAGCCATGTTACTACTGTGTACATGTGACGCTGACAATGGTTCCTTGTCTGACACATGACGGTGGTGGTCAAGAGAAATTCACATCCAAATGTCACACGGCGAAAGACAAAGAGGTCGATGAAGAGATCCAGAGCATCGTTCGAGTGTCAGTATCCACTCCCGTGTGAAGCCTAGGTCCACCCCTGACAATCCGGGAATTTGGAACAGTATTTTCTTTGAAATATTGGAATTAAAATTCTAGTGCTGGCACTCCAAAGAGTCTCTGCTAAGACACATAGCAAATGTCAAGACATGAAAACACCGGGATATTGCTACAAGGACTTTATTTGAGATGAGGAAAGGAAGTGGGGGACAAGGGACAGGAGGAGTAAAAGTCTCCTTCTAGGTCTCAGAGCACGCGATGACCTCACTGTGCTCCGTTCTCAGTGCTCAGCGGCAGCAGAACGGGTACTCCTCGCCATCGGAGAGGCAGCTCCCAGAGACGCGCTCAGATGAACGACACCTTCTTTTTCTGCAGGCGCAGGTCAAGTCCCTGGCTGAGCCTGGGGACACAGAGAGAGCATGGGGCACTAGGGCTGGCGCAGAGGTGGGAGGTAAAGGGAGTCCCCGGCAGGTCCTTGGTGGATAGTCGGGTTCATCCTGTTGGCGACATCGCGCCAGGCAGAACTGACCATCCCCAGTCGACAGGAATAAACACAGGCGCTGTGCTGGGCACGGCAGGATTCGAGAGCCGTTCCCATTTTCTCCCCACTTTGCTCCCCTGCCCCGTCACACTCACGTCTGAACACACCCTGACGCCGTCTCCACTTTCTAAAGCTCCTCTAAGAGACAGTGTTAAGATACATTTCTCTTCAACTGGGCTCTCTGCGGGGACATTGCAGGAGAGACCCCCCACTGTGCTGCGACAAATCATGACATTAGTGCATTTCACAGAATTGTCATAGAGTCAAACATCTTCAGAGTAAAAAGGTGTCTTCCTATCATATGGTTCTTTCTCTTCAGTGTACACAGGAGGAAACTGAGGCCTGGGGAGGTGATCACCTGAAGACACACAGAGGCCGTGGCTGGGACTGATTCCAGAGGAATCTGGGTTTCCTCTCTAGTCGCCCCAGCTCTGCAGTGTTGGGGTCTCTCACCTGCAATTCTGACAGCTGAGATCCTGTCCCCTGTAAAGGAGATGATCATGTCCCGGTCCTCTGTCCCGGGCTGCTCCTGGGCTGGGGCCCCGTCATCTCTCTCTTTCAGGGGCCCGGCCTGGGCCTGGAGGGCCAGCAGGAGGAGGGCAGCGAGGAGGGCGAGGGTCCTCATGCTGGGGTCGCCTGGAGCAGGGAGAGCAGGAGGCGAGTGTGGGGAGTGAGGAGTCAGCTGTGTTTATAGGTGTGTGTTTATAGGGCTGAGGGCGGAGGCTCCAGAGCAACCTGCGGGGAGGACCAGTGAGCCTCGGCCTGGGAGGGTGAGGGCTGCCTGTGGCCCCATGTTCTTCTGTCCCCGCAGCTTCGTCACAGCGAGTCTGTGTGTTTAGTGAGTGTCCTGGGTCCATGCTGATGCTTATCATTGGGACCCTGCTGTATTTCCCTGCTTTCCACCTGCTGGAATATTTACCTTTTTTAACATTCGAAAAAGAAAAGAAACAGTGCTTTCATGCAACAAGCTCAGGGAACAAATGCCTCTCATTTTCTGAAAATGGGCCCTGCTGCTTTCTGGGGGTCTAGTCCCTGGGGCAGACCTGGACCCCAGTGAGCAGAGAGTTCATCATTGCAGGATTCTGGGGCTCTACCTCCCTCCTGAGGGGGTCGTCACTGTTCTCACCATCTTCCCCGTCCACGAGACAGGGTGGGCTAAGGAGAAGAAATAGAAAAGAGGCCATGGCAGGGTGGGCAGCGAGCAAGGCGTGGGGGGAGAGCAGAGCAGGAGCTCTGGCAGCCACTGCACCGAGCCCAGCTCGCCCCCACCCCCAGCCCTGGGAGACACACAGTCAAAACAGCAGGGAAACTTCTTGTTACCAGGGTTACCAGGATCCTTGGCATGGGACTCCGCAGTGACCAGCAACCAGGAGCGTGGGCTTCCCTCATGGGGGAATACGGCAACGTGGGCGATCGTTGAATATACGTGAGCACAGTCAAGCTTACAGTATCTTCTACAGTCGACGAGTGGCAGGAAAAAAATTGTTTTTGTAACACAAGCTTCCAGAAAAATGAAAATCTTGTTTTGTGCTGACAAAATGATGCAGCAAAGCCCCAGTAAGAACTCTAAGAATTCTAGGTGGGGGGCAGGGGACATAAGTGTGGGGGTTTCATGTTATTCAGAAGGGACATGGGTTTTTAAGGCTAGAGGACAGTGATGGAGGGCAGAGAACACCCTGGGGACAGAGGCGGGCTCCTCTCTATCCCACCAGTGGGGGCGGGGTAGCCCAGCTTGATGCCAGGCTCTGGGCAGCCAGGGAGGCTTGCTTGGGCAATGGTGTTTCCGTGACAACCAGGGATGGCATTCACTGGTTTCACCATGGCCCCCACTAAAGAGAAAGCACTTTCAGGGGAAACGAAGGGGTCCAAGTCCCAAGGGACACAGGCGGTTGAAAGGTGCTACCACCTGGCCCCGGCAAGGCCCACCCAGCCTCGGGCTGACTATCTCCCCTCTGGCAGCCCCTCCTTCCGAGCAATGCTCCTCAAGTGTCCCCTCCTGGAAGACCTCCTGTTCTCTTTCTTTTCTTGTCTTTGTTTTTTTTTTTCTTTTTTTTTGGAGGGAGGGAGGCAAGCTGTCAACTCTTTTTTAAAAGGCCTACAAAGAATCAGTCCCATTTTTATTATTAGATTTAACAAACATAAAATTACATTTCCATAAACAGAGTTAGAACAAACATATTAATAATAACACAGAGAAAAGAAAAATAATGTCTGTACACACTGTTCATGACAAGTGTGTCCCGATAGGTATTCAACATAGAGAATCACTATTCCATTTCGATCATAACTTGCTGTTCTTTGTAATTAAACAAAAATGACCTGTGTTAAATGCCAATAAACACTGTGTCTGTCTTCTTTCCTTCTGTAGCAAGACAATTTTGAACCATAACCATCGTTTCACTTTTCCATCATCAGGCATGAAATCCATCAGACACATTTTTTGTATTTTCAGCGAAGCCAAGATTTCTAAACCATTCTTATGCTTATTTACACAGAGAGCAGTTCAGTGAGGTTTATCACCACCTCTTAGGTATATTAAAAGTGTGGCTTCATTGGATTCGTTTTTTTTTTTTTTTTTTTTTTGAAGATCCCAAAAAGCATCAGAGCAAAGTCTGTGTTCTAAGCACGTGTTTGGGTTTGTTTCGATCAGGCATGGTGAGACACACAGGCAGTCTGCACCAGAGTTAAAAGTCCATCCTCACAGTTGCCTGGAGACGGGAGGCGCCATGCAGAGTCACATGGGGAGGACAAGGTCACCAGATGCAGCGGGAGGAAGACCGCAGACCCTGGCCCAGAGCCCACCTGGGGTTCTGCGAGAAGCAACGGGCCAGGTGGCGCAGGTACCCTGCGTAAGCTTAGGGCTGGAGAGAGTGGGGAATTGTGGCAGGCCCTGGGCTACAGAAGTGGCCCCTAGCTGTCTGGCACCTGGCTCTGGGGAGATTCAGGGCAGGAAGAAACCTGAGTTTGACAGAGAAGGTGATTGGGTGTGTGGGCTTTCTGGTTAGTTCGGGCGCCACAGGTGTGCTCACGGGGTGTTGATTGCTGTCTCTAGTAATGAGCTCACTCTGGAAGGGGCAGTCCCTCCAGGACCAAGACCGCAAGCTCCAGAGCATCCAAGAATTCAGAAAATAAGACAATATAGCCAACAGAGTCTGAGCGATATCTCTTCTCTGCTCAAATGCTTCTTGTGGGAGCCATTGAAGAAACCTTCTTATCATGTTTCCCCGAAAATAAGACCTACCCATAAAATGAGCCCTAGCAGGATGTCTAAACATGCAATAGAAGTCCTAACCCAAAAATAAGCCCTAGTGATGGGCGTGGCTACGCAGCGCATCTGCACAACCCATGCATTTGGTCTCGGGGCGGTAAAGAACACGAGCAGCCCTCATCTGCCCCAGGAGATGGCTCCACATGAGAGATCGGGGCCAATGGTTCTAAAGGAAATAGAGTAGCAAGAAATTCAGGATGGAATTCAGCATTTGGAGAGTGATGATGATGTTCCAGAAGAAGACGACTTCACTATATTTGAATAAATGTAGATTGTTATACCATACTTAAAAAAAATAACACATCCCCTGAAAATAAGCGCTAGGGTGTCTTCTTGAGGAAAAATAAATATAAGACCCTGCCTTATTTTCAGAGAAACATGGCACTTCTCCGTCCTGTGTCATTTTGTTGATTGACTTTGGGGGCATGAAAAGGAGACTCCAGGGTTCGCGGGTCATGTGCCCATTTCCCTCGTCACTTTCCAGATGTCCCTGTGATGGAGAGGCCAGCTCCCGCCTGCCTAGAGCTTGACTAGGGGTGATAAACAGAAAAGCCCACGGCTGCAAAATGGCCAGACCAGTGCTTAAAAGAGATGTGGACAAGCTGCTGGGAGTGGCCCTTAGCAGTGACACTGAGCTGCCTTCTGAGGGGCGTGGCACCAGTCAGGGGTGAGATCTGCAGGCAGAGTGAGGGCATGTGTCCCCGTCGTGTCCCCTAAGAGCCCTTTCGACGTCCCCACATGCAGTGGATGGGAATGGCACAAGCAGAACGACAGCCCTGATTCGAGGACAGAGTGGTTGAACAGTATAAAGATATTGGTCTCGCTGAGTCCATTTACAAATCCAATATAATCGCAATAAAATACCAATAAACAATTTTATGAAATTAGACAAGCCGATACTAAGGTTCAGATAGAAACCAAACATATAAGGACAGGTTGAGAAAAAATGGGGAAAAGGAAACTACAAACAAATATGACCCCTATTGGACATTAAAACACACTATAAAATTTGTATAATTGAAACAACATGGTACTAGTGTATGAATAGACAGACAGACCGATACAGCAATATAGGAACTCTAGAATGAGACCCACACACAGATGGAAATTTAGGTATACGACAAAGGTGGCATTTCAAATCACCAGAGTAAATGTAAACTTTTTAATGAATAGTGCTAGGACAATTAGGTAGTCATTTGGGAAAACATCAGATTAGATTCCTATCTCACACCATGCAAATAAATTAGAGATCTAAACATCTCTGTCCAGGGCTGGGGTCAGAGAAGTTGAAGTCTTTGTTTGTCTATTCTCTCTACTGCAATTCGAAACCCTGTGCTTTTTTCCCCCACTTGTCTTTAAAAAAGTATTCCGAGGGTCAACCACGTACCAGGCACTGCCTTAGCCACTGAGGATACAGGACGCACAAGACAGTTAGCGTCCCGGCTCTCCTAGAGCTTACATTTCCATGGGAGACAGAAACAACCACCCCAAAAAAGGAGCCTCTGTCTTTATGGGATGTTTATGTAGCTGGAGAGCAGGCAGTTAAACAAGTGAATGTCCACTATAAACAATTAAAGATGAAATTCAACATCAGGTAGAGACCCACGCTGCCAAGGAAAACAACACGTCCGTGAGCAGGTTGAAGGTCCCCTTCTAGACTATTCCTGTCTGCAACTTCTCTTCCAAGGCTTCATTCTCTGGCCTCTGCCTTAGGGGTAGTGGACTCAGTTAAGTGACGTGTGTTTGGTGGCCCATGTTCAGTGGCAGGTGCACACAGATCCAAGTTCAGCTACTAACCATCCATGTAGCCTGGGAAGGCCACTTGAAACTTCCTCAAGCTCACTTTCTTCATCTATAAAATCTAAGGTAGCTCTCATCTCAGACAGTTGTTGCAAAGAAAAATTGAGATACTATCTTCACCCACCTTCACTCAGAGGGTTTCATAGGCTGGTGGTGATAATGTCACTCAGAGTAGACCTCCAGTTCCGCTCATTAAGAACATATATAAGGGAGACCAGCGGGAAGGATAGGTGGATTAGTCACCTTTCCCCTCCCCTGCATCTGGGACTGCTGGTGGGCTCCCCAGCGGGTGGAGAGACCTACAGACACCAGCCCAGAGACGACCGCCGCCAGCAAGCAGTAAGCCTGTAGCAGACGCGGCACCAGGCTCCCAACTCCCTCAGGGCACCTCCGTGTGCACAGACCCCAGCCGCGCAACAGACGTCATATTGCCTCCTTCTCCCCTCCCCACCCCTACCCGCGGCTGCCCAGAGAGACAATACAGCCACCAGCCAGACGACCTCCAGGGAACGGGACCTTCCCTTTTGGGACCCTACAGCTGACTAAGGGGAATTCAGACTGTGAGCTCCCTACCCGCCAGCCCTCCCAGGTGCTGCTGGCCCAGTGATCCCAGGAGAACGGGGCAGACTCAGAGTCTGAGAGACACAGACACAGCTTGGGCTCCCTGTGGGTGAATTGGGCCCGGAACTCCTCTCCCTGGTGGGGATATAGTTTGAACTCTGGGACCCAGAGGTCAGACCTGCAGACCAGATCCCATACACCGAGGTCTCGCATTGCCTAGGGTACAGAGGGATATACGTGAACAGCCTACTGAGGTGTGTGTGCCTCCAGGGGCAGATCAGTGTCCTAGAGGGCAACCCTCCCCCCAAAGGGAGGCTGTGCACCCAGCCCAGGTGGTGTTCATGCCCAGGGAACCTCCCTGCTGGCATCACAGTCCAGGGAGGCCTGGTGGCGTGTGGTCTGGCCTGCTGGCAGAGGCCCAGGAGTAGCTGCGGAGTTGGGGAGGGTGGAAAGAAGCGAGGCCGCTACAGACTGTGGGTCTGAGACAGTCCCACACACAGACTTTCTGGCTGAGTGTGGCCATTCCAGCCCCTCCCTGACAGCTTTTCCTGGAAGCAGAGAACAGAACTTTGACCCCTGCTAATGGCATTGATGGTGCCTGAGGGCAGGCTTACCCAACCCAGCTCCACCCAGACTCACTCCCAGACCAGCCCTCACTGAAGGGGAGAAAAGGACACACCTGGAAGTCCCAGGGCCCCACCCACCACCTGAGGCACTAGAGTTCTCTCTACAGGAACAAGAGCTGATAACAGGACACAAAAACAACAGGGTAGCCTGTTCCACCAAGCAAGCGCCACCTACTGACAGGGAGGGCATCCTGCATAG